TAATTCTTATCAACACTGGAACTGATAGCCCACTTCAGGGAGGATAGCATTATTAGTTCCCTCAATCTACAAACAAGCCACGTCGCTCCACACACGCTCCACTCATATCATTCAGGACCACCGGTAATGGCACGGGCTAATGGTTATTTACCATGATGTGAGTTCTGTTTTCCGCAAGGTTCCAACCAAGGAAATTCCAGGGCTTTGGAAAACCAAACTTTCCGTATTAACGTTAGTTGGCGGCAGGCGGAGGATGAAAGTGCTCTGTGTTGTTTTCTTCAAATAATACAATTAAATCACTTTGTGGTGGGGGCGGGGGGTGAAGGGGGACACTTATTTATTATTGTGTAAATTAGGTGACAGACACTCAAACGTGCTGGCAGATGTGACAATTCGGAAAAGCCGACTGAAAGCATTTTGACTGTAAGTCTAAACAACCTACATGCCACTTCAACAGTGAGCCTCAACTGAACCCAACCAAAAGGCATGGGTGGAAGGAGGATGTTCATTTTATTGACAACAGGGAGGAGTGACTGGACCATTAAATGAATAATATGTCAGGGCAGCTGTCTGCACACATTTGCAAACCCAGGTAATGGCTTCATTAATTATCAGAGAGGGAAGAGTCCTCGTCTGTGCTTCCCTGAACCATCTGGGTACATCCTGCTAATTGGTCTGTGAATTAACACGATTAGTTTATTGGAATAAGGTTGTCCTTTCTTGTCTATTTTGGTGTGTTGTAGCAATAGTCAAATTGAATGCTCCCTGCATTAACCCAGTAAGCAGCATTTTTGACACTGAAGTTGCTAATCCCATTTCCCACCTTTTTCCCCCATTTCCCTCAGTACCTCATTGCCTGCCCTTAAACATCAAATCGGTTCTACATTCTCACAGCCCTTCTGTAACAGAATATTTCAGCCTTCAATTGGGAACCAATGTTAAGATGATGACTCTTCCCTCCACCACCCCCCACTCATCTGCAAAGAATAAAACTTCACATTAAAAATGTCACCTACTGACCTGCCTGGGAACAATTCACTCATTTAAAATTGCACACGTCATCTGAGTGACCGAGGTCAAGTGCTGTCACCAGCACAGCGCAGTAATCAATGAGGTTCCCCGAACTCCATAATCATCCTTTTTCTCCAAAGCGCTATTTTGCTGCACCGTCAGCAGGACCCAGGTAAAGATTTTGTGTGTTATTTGTTGGTCTAAATTACTTTGATGGTTTAAGTCAGTAAAAGGTCAAGAAAAACTAATACGATGAAGGCTAAAACATAAATGGGAGCGAGAGAGAGAAAGCCTGGCTTGCTCTCACACTCTGTTCACCTCACTGGGGCTGCTGGGGTTCAGGTAGCAAACATAGTTGACAAGATGAAACAGGGTCAGTAAACCTCACAAAGGACCGCCCGAATGACTCACCAAACGTACAGATTTATTTGACTCCCCCTAAACAAAAAGTACCACTGCCGCTCACAGTACCCAGTCACAACAAGAGGTTAATTCAAATATGAATTACCCCTGCACCTTCACCCCCCCCCCACCCCCCCACCCCCACACACGCACAATGCATAAAAATCACTTTTTCGCTGACTTTACATCTCAACTACCTGTATGGAGCTAATGAACTGATGTTTAAAAGGTATTTCATGGTCTGCCTTATTAAAAGGACATCAGCAGTCTGCTGTAAAATGAAGTTTGTTCAGCACTGTATCACCACGCACCATCTGGCTTGCTCCTGACAAAACATCAATTCAATTTTTTTTGTTCATTAAAACCTGCGTGGACTTGAACTGCATTAATCAGGTCTGCACTAATGCAATTTCGCCACTGAAACTGCATTAATCATCATTACCGAACTCTGAGAGTAATTCCATTATTTTTTCCATCACAGAGGTGTGAAGAGGCAGCAGAAACATGCAGCTGTGAGCGGGAGTGAGACGAGTGGCCTCAGGGGAAGGGCACGTATTGCGAGGGACATCATTGCTGATCAATTTAGCTGACGTTTATTCCCAGAGGCAGTGTTCTTCACAGGTCAGGCAAATGAAATGCCAGCTACCGTGAATTCCAATTACAAATGTCACTGCAACATTCAATGGCGGCTTGGATATTCAGCTGTGAAAACTTGATTAGAGGGAGCACAAGGATTCTGGATGTGCCTTGAAATCTTTTCCGAGTGCAAGTAAACAATTCCAATTGCTCTTACCCAATTCAACAAGAACCATGCGGAAAGAAGCTCCCACTGTACACCCACTCCTCCTCATAGAATCATAGAAGTATACAGCACAGAAGGAGGCCATTCGGCCCATCGTGTCTGTGCCGGATCTTTTAAAAGAGCTATCCAAATCAATCCCACTCCCCCGCTCTCTCCCCTTGGCCCTGCAAACTTGTCCTCCCCAAATAATTATCTACTTCTCTCTTAAAAGTTGTTATTGAATCGGCTTCCACCGCCCTTTCAGGCAATGCATTCCAGATCCGAACAAATCGCTGTGTGAAAAAATTTCTCCTCACCTCCCCTGTTTCTTTTAACAACTATTTTAAATCGGTGCCCTCAGGTTACTGACCCACCCGCCAGTAGAAATAGTTTATCCTTATTCACCCTATCGAATCCCCTCATAATTTTGAAAATTTCTATTAAGTCTCCTTCTCTGCTCCAAGGAGAATAATCCTAGCTTCTCTAGCCTCTCCTGATAACTGAAGTCCCTCATTCCTGGTACCATCCTGGTAAATCTCCTTTGCATCCTCTCCAATGCCTTGACATCCTTCCTAAAGTGTGGTGCCCAGAACCGAACACAGTACTCCAGCTGAACCTGAACCGGTGTTTTATAAAAGTTCAATATAACTTCCTGACTATGTATGCCCCTATTCTATGTATTCTATGCCCCTATTTATAAAGCCTGATATCCTATATGCTCTTTTTTAACAGCTTTATCTACCTGTCTTGCCATATTCAAAGATTTACTTATATGACTCCCCCAGGTCTCTCTGTTCCTTCACCCCCTTTAAGATTGTACCATCAACTTATATTGCTTCTCCTCATTCTTCCTCACTTTGCATTTCTCCACATTAAACTTCATCTGCCACGTGTCTGCCCATTTTACCAGTCTGTCTATGTCCTCTTGCAGTCTACTACTATCCTCCTCACTGTTTACTACTTTTCGTAGCTTAGTATCATCCGCAAACTTGGAAATTGTACTCCCTATACCCAAGTCCAGATGATTTGTATAGATTAAAAACAGCAGTGGTCCCAATACTGACCCCTGGGGGACACGACTTCACACTTCCTTCCAGTCAGAAAAGCAACCGTTCACCAACGCTCTCTGCTTTCTGTCTCCCAGACAGTTCGGTATCCATGCTGCCACTGTCCCTTTAATACAGTGGGCTTCTATTTTGCTTACAAGTCTCTTCTGTGGCACTTTATCAAACACCTTTCGAAAATCCATATAAACTACATCAACTGCACTACCTTCATTCACACTCTCTGTTACTTCACCAAAAAACTCTATCAGGTTTGTTAGACACGATTTACCTTTAACAAATCTGTGTTGGTTGTCCTTTATTAACACATATTTTTCTAAGTGAAAATTTATTTTGTCCTGGATTATAGTCTCTAGAAGTTTCCTCACTACTGACGTTAGACTGACCGGCCTGTAGTTCCCGGGTTTATCCTTCTGCCTCTTTTTGTACAAGGGAGTAACATTTGCAACCCTCCAGTCCTCTGGCACCACTCCGATGTCCAAGGAGGATTGAAAGATTGTGGCCAGAGCCTCTGTTATTTCTACTTTTACTTCCCTCAGTAACCTAGTCTAGACCGGGTGACTTATCTATCTTGAACACTGTCAACCTTTTTAGTACCTTCTCTCGGTTTATTCCTATCTTATCCAATTTCTCTACCCTCTCCTCCGATACTGTGGCATTGGATGCATCCTCTTCTTTTGTGAAGACAGATGCAAAGTTCTCATTCAGTATGTTAGTCATGCCCTTTGCCTCCACAAGAAGATTTCCTCTTTGGTCCCTAATTGGACCCACCCTACCTTTCACTAACCTTTTATTCTTTATATGCTTATAAAATGTCTTAGGGTTCTCTTTTATGTTCCAGCACATTCAGTTCCCTCCTCACGCTGCTGGGCTCTCTGCTCAAGTAAGGCTCTCGCAAGTCTTCCCCTTTGTACAGGACTCAAACAAAAGCTCTAAACATTATCCCTACTATCTCTCTGGGGTTCAGTACATTAATATGGAAACAAAACCACAAAAACATGCAGTGTTTAAAATATTATTATTAATAGTAATATGAGTCATATTAATAAAAATAAGATTAATTTTAATAATACAAGTATTAACATTCATAATACTTGCATTTTGATTCAGCACCTTTTCATGTCGTTGAGGTGTGTCAAAATGCTTTACGGGATTTTACTTTTAAGTGTGGTGATTGTGTATTTGTAGGTAAATACAGTAGCCAATCTGCGCACAGTAACGTCCCACAAGCAGCCATGAATTGAGTGACCAACCTATCCTGGTACTTAATACAGGACCTTGGATTTGGTACAGCGCCTTGTCAAGTCGAAACATTTCAAAGAGCTTCAACGAGTTTCCTATAAAGTGTAGTGACTGAATATGTGTTTCCAATTACCTTAAATAAACTACACCTTCAGCAGTTCAGCACAATATACAAGCACAATCGTCCCAGGCAGAACAGGGTGAGGTGAAGGCTTCATGAAAAGGCCCCCACTTCCCAACTCCTCAAACCAACTCAAAATATAAATTACAACTAGAGTAAAACCTTGAGATTGTGATCATGCCTTAAAAAGCTTCAACACAGACAGTCAAAGAAGCACGTGCCTGGTTTTTAAATTTCAAAACTAAAATGAGTAGTTCATGAAGAAAAAAACCTTAAAGCACTCCAGGATGTTTAAATGTGTCTATTAATCCACATCTAACAGAGTAAATGACAACATGGTGAGTTCCAAACTGAGGAAAACTTGGGCTTCAATAAATACCTGTCTCTTGTCATCAGGGGCCTTCAGGAAGAGTGCATTAATCACAGCAATTGTGTAAGTCTGAATGTCAGGATCCGTACTTTTGGAACAAAAAAAAACAAAAACACAGCACAGTTAGTTAGCCAGGAACCGTGCACTTCGTAAACTTTTAAACAAGATACAATCGTGGAAAGAGAACGGTGTAAAGTGGCTGCCGTGAGTCAAGGACAGAGAATGAAGAAGAATCAGGGTCAATATTTCACAAGTTAAATCGCTGCAATCAAACTCACATCCGGGCAAACTTCAACACAGGGAGGCGGATGACAATCTCGTGATACTGTACGTGGAAAATATAACAACAACAATTTCCTGTTATATAGCACCTTTCACATCGGGAAGATGTCTCAAAGGGCTTCACGCAGCTGAATGGAAGTTATTTTTCATCCTGAAACCCAAGCACTCTGAACACGTGGTCTGTCAGTCACCGACCAGGATGTTGGGTTACCAGGCAGTAGCTTTAATGCACAAAATGCACGCGGCCTGGGACAAACTGCTTCTTGTTCACTTTGGGGCAGATCAGCAGTGACTGTAAAAGCTTTTACAAAACATGTCACCAATCCTCACCCTTGCAGATGTGGGATCAGCTGGCCAATAGTAATCTCTTGCGCCACCTTCTGGTAGAGATCGTAGCTGTTCAACACCATGGACTCGAGGATTGCCAGAGACCGTTGCAACACAGACACGTCCATGCCAGTTTTGTTCACGTAACTTGCTATCTGTTTGTGCAAAAAGACACGGTTTAGAGGTAGATCGGTTTTACTTTTCTGCCTGGTTATAAAAAGATACTCAAACAGCTAACTAGAAGAACACAAGTGAGAGGTCAGCTTCCAAACTCTTCTCCCTACTCGACAAATCACTGGTGTTCTTGACTCAACCATCATCATAATAATGATGCTCAGATTTTGGATAGCTCATTTCATGTCCCAAAGAGCTTGACAGTACATACAGTAAAGTGCAGTGACTGTATGTTTTGTGGGCTAATGCAGCAACCAATTTGCACATAGCCACACCCCACAAACAGCGAATGACAAAAATTTTATTTGGGAGATTGCTGGCCAGGGCAAACTTTTATGCAAGTATGACATAACTCATACTTTGCATAAGTCACATTAAATGTATGGGCCCAACTGATACGACTTATGTGAGGTTTACTTACACATTTTTTTTCAGTGAAGACTATTCTGAATCCTACAGCGACACTAACTGTACACGTTGCACTGGGATTGCGATTGCCCCATTAAGGATAAGCAAATAGAGCAGATCATTGGACATTACACTGTTCAGGGGTTATGCTGTCATTGCAGTCTCACGCTGTCTCAAACCCTTCTCTTTGTACCAATCTTTTCTCTCTCCCCAACTTTCTCGATTTCTTTCTCTCGACTCGAGTATCTAATACTACACCCTACCGTCCGTCATTAAATAAACATTTGCCTTCATTCTGTCAGCTTACAGTCAACCGCTGGGTAAATCACAATTCCAGTAACCTTGTGCAAAAGCACACACAATAAATTGTTTGTTTGGTTAATCTCATAACCTCCCAAGTTCACTTCCACATCAGAACCCAAAGCTAACTTTCTCTTTGCAAGTGCTGCAAAAAATACCTCTCTCTTTCCCCCCTCCCCTCCCTTGCAAATGCTGTTCTCCTTTGAGCATCATCTCACAGGTGCATTGCAATTATAATCCCATCATTACCTTCTTGATGAAAGCTACTGAGAACGTATCCCAGGAGACAATGCCATGATCCATGAGTTCGACGAAGGCGGTTAAAGAAAACGACAACATATCTCCAAAGCTGATGGCGGGGAGGAGAGAGGAGGGGGTAAAAAAGAAGACACCATTTACAAATCATCTGCAGCCATCTACACTCGGGCAACCGAATCAGCCACCGTATTACAGGTAAATCACAGAGCAGGAAAACCGAACGAAAGCCACACGAGTATTGGCAATGTCAAAAGCGTGAAGAGCAGAAGGGGCAAAAGGTTAAAATACAAGTTATTAAATGATTCCATAGCTCAGCAAAAACAGCAGACCCGCACCCTGAAAGGAAGAGGTTTTAGTAGAGACGTTAACAGTGCCAGCCAGCAGAGCCTCATGCATTTACCATGCCCGAGAGTACAAGGTCACAGCCCAACTTCACACTCCAATCAGCTTCTTCCTAAAGCATGTCAGTGATCCGTAGAAACCACGAGGAGAGCCGTGGGAATTTCAGTCTCCTCGTGGGATTAACCATCTCTGCGTTAGTAGGAGGTTAGGAAAGGATGAGGGTGTTTTTTTTGTTTGATGCACACCACAATTTGCCCCCCTCCCACACCGTCTCACTTATAAATCATAAAGCATACCTTCAAAAGATGCCAGAATGAACCGTAGGTTTAAGCGAACCGTTTGGGCAACTCTTAACGCTGGGATTTACAAGTCATCTCCTTTGAGGAACAGTGTTTGTAAAAAGCATATTCAATAGGTAATCAGCTCTGCAATTAATGGTATGTTAATCTCTTATTTGCTCATGGTGTCCGCACACTACACTAAGTGCACAATTCTGAGACCTCAGCATTAGATTTCTGTGCTCTTGTCAAGTATTCTACAATCAAAATGCACTAAAGCGACTCAACACCTGATATTCATACACAACCTCGTCCATAGATGCTTCCAATCAACTGATGGCAAATTAAGTCAGTACAAATGGACTACCATCCCCATTCTGGTGCAGCGTTACCATCCGGCTGCATTGCAAAATAATTCCTCGCCCATTCTCTCCAAATTAACGCTAAGTTTTTTTTTGCGCGAAAGAGCTGAGTCTCAGTTTGAAAGTCACCTACGAGGTTCAGAGGTATACAGTACACTGAAATAAAATAACCTGCTTGTGCTTTCAGTGCACGAGCTGTCTTCCGAGGGGTGACCAATTCCTGTTTCGAGACTGTTCCATCGTCTTCACATATCATTTGCTGAATGAGGCGATTGCCTCACTGTAACCCATCCTTCAAATCTGGGAGGTGGCATTAGCACATTTCGTTTAGCATCGGGGATGGCACAAACACTCGCTTCGCAGAACTGCATCTTTTCTAGTACACTCAAGTACAATGTACTTTTTAAAAAGTCTGATTGATAGACGCGCCATTTATTTTGGTCAGTTGGTGAGGTGGAAACCCCTCACTTTACTTAAAAGGTATCCGAACCAGACTGACAGTTCTACCGAAAAATGCCACTTATACATGGACACTTCTGTGGGTCTGGAACAGAATGCACACTCTCTCTCTGGAGGGACGCATCCTGCTTACCTAGGTCCAGAGAGTAATGGGCTCAGGTTAGCAAGAGCCAAAGGACTTCAAAGCGTGCGTTGGGGTACCTGCTGAAGTCTAACCAGGTAAAACTGCATAGTTTGCCATTGTCTGGCAAGCTTTCCCTCTGCTTGTATAGCTAGGACCACCCAACCCGTTAGGGCTTTGGCTTACACAGATAATAGGAGCTCAATGGAAAGAATTCCTGTTCCCAGTGCCCTGACTGCACTTCCAAGTCCTGTGACGAGCCCGGCTGGCTAGTCTATCAAAGCAGTGCCCTGGAGTACTGAGGACTGGCCTGGCTCAGGAACCGAAATTGCCATATAGTGGCAGAAACACCATGTCCATGAAAGTTTGGAAGAGGCAGTAGGGAGACATACTCAAAAATATCTATGAGTGTTGCATGGACAGCATGCTACACCTTCTACATGGGGAGGAGGGAGCAAGAGGAGAGAAAGAGAAGGCATATTGATTTACAATATGTAGCATCCATCTGACTGCAGGGCGAACATACACGCGATACATCTTTGGGTATGTTTTGTGGATTTGCCCATCTGATGTATACATTACATCAACTCAAAATACAGCTATTGCGGGGGATTCCCTGATGGCCTCTTGAATAAAGGCATCGTGGTCAAGGTTCACACAGTGAGATACCGGAGACTGCTCGGTGACACAGGAAAAGGATTTAGGAGTCAAATTGTTCTAATTAATTATTGATCAAGATTTCAGGGAACAATTACGCCACTGTTCCATTAACTTCTTCTCTGCATTCAGGAGAGAATGAATGATTCCTACATATTGTGACTCTAATTCAGTGGAAGAGAGGTGATACTCTCACCAAAAAAGAAGCTCAAAATGTATATTAGGGAAGCATTTGAAATCCATGTGCGCTGCTTGGGCCAGTATAAAAGAGATGATCACAGCATTCCTGAAGGATAAAAAAATAATCTTGAACTGGAAAGGAAAAGAAGAATAACACACGCATAGAGCGACAGCCTATTTTATAGTGTTATAGCCCTATCATTACTAACAACCATGAGAAGTAGTTAATACCAATGCAGGATGCATTTGCCCCAAATGCAATATAATTCTGTATTCAACCAACACAGCCTTCAGGACCTAGCTAAACATACTCAATGTAACACAAGTCACTTGTCTCACCAATTAACTAACAACAACTTGCATTAAAATGGTGCCCTCCAGGCCGGGTGGCGTCTCAGAGCGCTTAACAACTGTGGAGCCCGAAGCTGAGCCAGGGGGAGGGGGAAGGTGACCCGAGGCGCGGTCGAAGAGGAAGGTCTTCAGGCGCAACCTGAAGATGGGGAAGGAGAGGGTGAGGCGAAGGGGTTGAAGGAAGGAGTTCCAAATTTTCGGGGCATAGTGGCTGAAGGCACGGCCGACACGGAGGAGGCCGGACCCAGTAGAGCAGAGATAGCAGGTACTGCTGTGGGGAGAGAGGAGGTTAGAGAAATAGGGGGGGTGCCAAGGAATGGAGGGATTTAAACACTAGAGTGAGGATCTTGAAGTCGATCCGCTCTGTGACAAGGAGCCAGTGGAGTTTGGCAAGGACTGGAGTAATCGGGGTATGAAGTTTGGTGCAGGTGAGAATGCGAGTGATAGAGTTTTGAATGAGCTGGATTTTGTGAATAGTGAAGGAGCGGAGAAGACCGGTGAGGAGGGCATTAGAGTAGTCCAGCCGAGAGGTGACAAATGCATGGACAAGGGTTTCGGCAGTTTTTGGGGTGAGGTATTGTCTGAGACGGGTAATGCGGCGGAGGTGGAAGAAAGCGGTGTTGGTCAGGGACCGTATGTGGGGGAGGAAGGATAACTGGGGATCGAACCTGACCCGTAAGTTGCGCATGGGTTCGGAGAGTTTTAAGGACAGGTCAGGTAGGTCGAGGAGGTTGGAACTGTGGGATAGAAGATGTCAGCGGGAGCCAAAGGGTCTGGCCAAAGGGGTGAGGTAGTGCCGTAGTCTGGCAATGTTCCGGAGGTGGTGGAAGGCGGTGCCAGTTGTGGCGTGGATGTGGGGAAGAAAGGACAACTCAGGGTCGAACAGAACCCCGAGGTTCCTGACCGGCTTTGAGAGGTGGAGAGTGCAGCGTTGGATGCTGATGCTGTCAGCGCCTGAGGTGCGGAGGCGCTGACGCGAGCCAACCAGGAGGGCCTCAGTTTTACGCACGTTGAGCTGAAGAAAGTTGTCTCTCGTCCAGGACTCGATGTCGGACAGGTAGGCTGTCAGGACATCGGTGGTCGTGGAGTTGAGGGTAGAAGAGAAAAGGTAGAGTTGGGTGTCATCCGCATACATGTGGAAGTTAACCGCATGTCTGTGGATGATGTCACCAAGGGGGAGCATATAGAGGGTGGCCAAGTTTGGAGGGATCAAGGGTAGTTTTTTAAGGAGGGGGATGATGACCGCGATTTTGAGGGGGAGTGGGACTGATCCTGAGGACAGAGACTGTTTAATAGTGTCTGCCAGCGGTGGACTGAGGAGGGGGAGCTGGGTGATCATCAGTTGGGTGGGAAGGGGTTTGAGGCAGAAGGTGATGGGTTTCATTGTGGTGATGGTGGATGAGAGGGAGAAAGGAGAGATGGGGGCCGTGGTAGGAGCTGAGGGCGGGGTGGGTACGGGAGATGGAATGTAGATGGCGGGAGGTGACACGGGGCAGAAGGATAAAGCTGTCAGGCGGATGTTGTTCATTTTAGAGGTAAGGAAGTCCATGACCTCTTTGCACTTGGCATGTAATGTGATGATTGAGACTTCTTGAGGGGTCACACAGAGAAGGTGGTGGGGGGTGGAGAATAAGATTTTGGAGTTATTGTTGGCCAGTATGATATTTTTGAGTAGTGCGCAGTTTTTGCTTGCGACAGGGAGTGGCGGTAGGTGTGAAAATGCTCGAGCCACAGCTGGTGGTGAACCATGAGGTTGGTTTTATGCCACCAGTGCTTGAGCAGCCGGGTTTGGGATTTTATGGAGCGGATATGGCTGTTGTACCAGGGGGAGGGGGTGGGTTTGGAGACGGTCCTCGATTTCACGAGGGAGTTGAAGGTGGAGGAGAAGGAGATGAGGAAATGGTCCGAGATGGCCTTGTCCGTGATGCACAGGTCGGAAATGTCAAGGCCATGTGTGATGACAAGGTCGAGGGGGCGGTCACGGTTGTGGGTCGGCGAGTTGATGTGGAGGGTGAGGTTAGGGAGGAGAGGAGGGCAGTGAAATCTGAGGAGGTGGTGCAAGGGGAGTTTAGGTGGAGGTTGAAGTCCCCCATTATGAGCAGGCGTTTTGAGCAGAAGGACAGAGAGGAGAGCGGAGATATCAGAGAGGAAGGAGCCAGGGGGTTTTGGGGGGCGGTAAACCAGGAGAATTTTGAGTGAGAGAGAAGAGATATGGTAGAGGGTGAGGTGCTCAAATGAGGAGAAGCAGCCAGAGGAATAGGGGGATAGACCAAGGGAAGCTTAGGAGATGAGGGCCACCCCCTGGCACGTTGGTTAGGGCGGGCGGTGTGGTGGAAGGTGT